AGAGAGAGAGAGAAAGAGAGAGAGAGAGAGAGAGAGAGAGAGAGAGAGAGATGAAAGGAGAATAAAGAGAATAAAGAGAGAAAGAGGGAGGGGGGAGGGAGAGGGAGAGGGAGGGGGAGGGGGAGGGGAGAGGGAGAGTGTAGGGAGAGGGTGGGGAGAGAGAGAGGGGGGAGAGAGAAAGGGGAAGAGAGAGAGAGAAGGGGAGGGAGAGGGATTGAGATATATATATATATACACACACTGCCGCGATAGCTCAGTGGTTAGAGCATTGGACTCCGACCCTCGTGGTCCCGAGTTCAATTCCCCGTCGCGGCAGTCGTAAAAATGCCTGCGCTCTGACTGCTTGCTCGAGCCCGAGAGCATCCAATCAGGCAAGGGTTACACTGCCATATAACCTCTCAATGGTAAATTGAGAGAGGCCTGCAGTGGAATGAATGGCTGTAAAAAAAAAATAATAATAATAAATAAAAAAATAAAAAAATAAAGAGAAAAACGAAAAAAATATATATGGATAAAAATAGATAGACAGATAAATAATGAGAGAGAAAGAGAGAGATATGATAGATAAGTTTTCTTTATCAATACCTTCTATCAATTTGTTTAAGCTATGTCTACACACACTATATAGCAACAAAACCTCCTAGGTACTGAAAAATAAGCCCTGAGACTATATGATTTCACAAAATCTAAATTACTCTAACGTTCCCAATTTCACATGATGCCAATATCATCTATTCCACCAGCCTTTCCTTTATATGTAAACCAATACAATAATGATGTCTGAATAACGAAAGCGTTTCCCCAGCGGGAGCGAGCCTTTGGGCCAGACTCTCAGCTACTCGTGCGTGTACATCGTCGGCGTGCACTTCCGGGTTTCTCAGACACTCCTCCCGCGGAACATCAGCATCCAGATCTTCATGGCCTTCATGTGGATGTACGCAACGATCCTGACGACGGCCTACTGCAGCAACCTCACCGCCTTCCTCACCGTCAACATCCAGCCCCGAAGTGTCGACACCCTGAACGAACTACGGCACTCGAAGCTCCGAGTCCTCAGCGTGGGGCCCTTGATCGGGAACCTCATGTCGCAGTCCGTGAACCCCGATTTGAAGGCAAGGGTTGTGTGTGTGTGTGTGTGTGTGTGTGTGTGTGTGTGTGTGTGTGTGTGTGTGTGTGTGTGTGTGTGTGTGTGTGTGTGTGTGTGTGTGTGTGTGAGTGTGTAAAAGGGTTACAAATCTTTCAATTTATTAGTGCACCAATATCAAACTTGAACTGAATTGTATCATAATAGTCTTTACCCCCTAATATGAACCTTATCCAAAAATCCTTTCAAGAGCCATTACTTGCGCCAAGGTCCGTGGAGAGACTAGTTATTTCTAACCTGTTAATACTTATCATGAGAATAAGCCCTCTTCAGCCTTTTTTTAACTCGAACCAGCATCCTAATCTCTTCTCCCCCCTGCAGGCCCTGACAGCTCGCTTCACCTCCATGCCCGACTTCGACTCCATCACGGAGCTGGTGATGGCCCGCGAAGGCGTCATGGTTCAGAGCCGCGCCTTCCTGGAGTACAAGAGGGAGCAACTCATCGACTCCAGAGGCCAAACTCTCGTCCGGATTATCAAGGTAGGTTGGATTCTCGTGACGAGGCTAGATTGCTGAAATATCTCTGTTTTATCAGAAAGTCCGGCATATTTACCATATTGCTTGGCCGACGTTGCGTGTCTCGGCAGGAGTGTTCCTTCCCGTTCAGCGTGGGCATCGGCTACCAGACTCACTCACCTTTGATTAAGAAGTTCAACCGCGTGATCAACTGGATCGTCGAGAGCGGTCTCTTCAGGTACTGGAAAGTCACGACTCTCCGGATGGCCAAAAAAGTACGTTGATATCAAAAAGTCGTTGTGAGTAATCTTGAAAACCATTTTGTTACCATGTTTCCGTTTTGACGAAAAGGAACGTTGTCAATTATTAGATTAACTGTTTCTCTCATCTTTTTTATTTATTTTTTTATCTTTTATTTTACAATCCCAGCCTCTACGTCATCTGTCTGTCCTTCCCTCTAATACTCCTCTCCTCCCACTCTCTCTCCCCATCACTTATTCCTTCTGCCACTTATCCACGACAGTTAAGACTTGAGACCGAAAAGCGCACAGGGAGCAGCGACTCGACCGCCCACGCCGACGTTCCGCAGGACAGTGGCGTGATTCCTCTGGGCATCGACCACCTGCAGGGCATCTTCATCGTGCTCCTCTTCGGCCTCGTCGCCGCCATCGCCGTCTTCGCCGCCGAGAAATTCTGTTGCGAGGGCCCAAGGGAGACGATCTGAAGAGTGCCACTTGATTCTTGATTTTATTATCATGATTGTAATTATCTTGTATTAATATTATTGTAATCATATTGTATTAACATTATTGCTGCAATTGTTATTATTATTCTTATGTGTGTGTGTAAAAGTGTAACATAAGAAAAAAATGTATACGTAAATCTATATTTATCTTCAAG